CACATTTTCAATTCCAACCTCCTCTCTGAGCTGCAAATCCGTATCTGCCTGCAGGCCACTCCCAATATCCCAACAGCGCGCAGACCAGCCCAAGTCGGAGGCTGCGGTGTGGTTCTCCTCCAGGGTTCCCCACCTCCGAGGATGGCGCCAGCACCCATCCCAGCTTGCAGCCAAAAGACCCAGAAGTCCCCTCTCCCACCTCCGTCTCCCCTGCCCTAGCATCTAATCTGTCACCAGCTTCCTCTCAATTTTCTCCATCCCCACCCTAGTCCACAGCTACCATCAACTCTTACCTGGACAATGGGACCAGCCTTTTCTCACTGGCCTCCCTGGATCCATTCTGCCTCCCCCACCTCCCTTCCTCTCCTCACAGCAGCCATAGGGTTCTTTTCAAAAATGCAGCATCTTTACTGATCATGTCACTACCACTCCCCCCACTTCTCTACTTAAAACACTTCAACGACATCCTGGGCGGGGGAGTGGAACGCGCTTAGGGTGACTTCTGAAGCCTTCCTTACCTGGCCTGGCTCTTCCAGTCATTCTAGCTGAATCTTCAACCATGTGGCCACATGCCTCGCTGCAGCAGTTTTGCTCTCTCCTGCCACAGGGCCTTTGCACAAGCGGTTCTCGCCACCAGTGACGTACTCTATCTGAACTGTTGTCACTGCCACCCTCAGGAGTTAAGCCCCTTTTCATCCTTCATCTCCCAGCTGCATTGTCACTTCCTCAGGGGCCACATGCTCTTCATTTAGAGCACTTACCATCAGTACACTTTTCCGTTAATCAGTGTGATTATTTGGTCATTATCTGTCTCCTCCACCAGATTATAAACTTCACGAGACTGAGAATGAAGTGTCTTTTTTGCTCATCATAAAATCCCCTAGGTCTAGCACAATGCCTAGCCGATAGCAGACGAACGACCAGTAATTATTTTTTAATGAACTACATACATTTAAGTCATAATCAATAATGGCAGCTTATGCTTTAAAAAAAAAAAAAAAGTCTCTGTCCCTCATGGCCATGGCTGATTGGTTCAAATGTGGGCATCTGGCTAGAATTTGGAAATTTCCTCTCTCTGCCTCTCTGAGTCATAAGACCTGCTAGCTACTTACCATTATGCCTTCTCGCTTTCCTTAGTAAGAGAACTCCAGTTTTAGCTGAGCACATTGCCACGCTGAATGCAGACTACATATCCCAGCTGCCCTTGCGGCCAGGGGTGGCCGTGAGACCACGTTCTGACCAAGCACGGGCAAGGGAACGTATTATCCGGAAGTTCCGAGACAGCCCCCCAAAAAGGAGGGGGTCATGACCTTTTGCCTTTCCACTTCTCTACCTCCTTCCAGGCTGACACTTGAACATCAATCTTAATCCAGAAGGGCAATCTGAGAACAAAAGCCCTACTCTAAAAAGATGGAGTGGACAGATAGAAAGGGTCTGTGCCCCTAGTGACCATGGGGCCACCAACCCAGCCCCAGATTTCCTATTTCCAGACTCTTTTCCATGAAAGGTTACACTTTTAGTGTTTTAAACCTCTCTCGTCTAAGCCTTCTCTTATCAAAAGGTGGAGGTAATCCCTCTGTCAAGCGAGAGACAGAGAAGACATCTCCGAACCCACTTTTCCCTGAGGCCCGGCTTCACCCCACAGTCAAGGGAGCCAAGTGTCCCCATTTCCATTAAGCTAATTCACACTGGCTTTCGTCACTTGCAAACAAGAATCTTGGCTAACACACTGAGACTAGTCTGGAAGTGCAAAAGCACGGAGAGACCTTCAAGATCTATTATTAATTTAAAATGTAATCAAACAGCTCATATTTATTGAGCACTTACAGTGTGTTGGGCACTGTTCTAAGGACTTTGCCCACGTCCTCTCTCTTCATTCTTCCAACAGCCTTACAAATTAGGTGACATCATTATGGCCATTTTGCAGGTTAGGAAACTGAGGCACAGACAGGTGACTGACTGGCCCAAGGTCACACATCTAGTAAGAGATGTGTAATTTTAACCCAGGCAACAGGAAGAACTGTTGGGGATGACCTATGAAATTGGCCCTTTGCCCTAGTTTTGTGCCCCTCCCCCCACCAGTAGCAGAGCCTGAGATTCAAGTGCAGGCACTGTCTTTGGGAGGTGATCCTAGGAACCCGGGGTGGGGGGGGGGGGGGGGGGGCGGGCAAGAGGAATAAGACAGAGTGTGTTAGTGAGGTC